CTAAGAACTCATTTTATGATTTTGTCTGCACCTGAAACAAACAGTAACAATACAAATATCCTTTAGAATTCTTATCGATACATTATCAAAAAATTTCAGAAATATTGTGAAAGCTATCACTCAAATGACTGTTCTTCATCACTTCTTCCCTAATATACCACAGAAAATAAATAATAAAGATACTATTTATATTCACATAGGTCTGAAATTGTTCCACTCTCATGATAACCCATACCCAAAGGTGAACTCCCAAATTTAAAAATGAAGTTACTTTCAATGGCATGAGATTGGGTGGTAGGGTAGATGTAGACCTTGTTTGGATCCTGATTCAAGCAAACTACCCTATAAAAAGTCCTTTCTGAGACAACTGGGGAAATGTGAATGTAGACTAGATAATTAGGTATTATAAAATTGCTGCTGTTTGGGGGAGTATAATAATGGTCTTATTAAAAAATAATATTTTAAAGGATATATATAAATATTTAGAGCTGACATGACAATGTTAGGATTTGAAATACTACAGCAAAAAAAAAAAAAGAAGAAGCAATTAATGGCAAAATGTTGATAACTTTGGACTTCCAGGCAACATGGCGCTATAGGCAGAAGCACCATGCCGTCCCTCCGCAAAAAGATCTGAAAAACTAAGCCAAACAGAGAAAATGGCAATTCTGAAACCCTAAGCATCAAACGAAGAGATAAAGAACTCAGCCAAACACCTAATGGAATAAGAAACTGACAGAGAACAGAGAGCAAGGAGAGATACATGCAGAGGTCCTCTAACAGCTAACGCAGCACGGATCCGCCATCTTGGACCCCTATCAGAGACCAGCGAGCGACGGGTATGAGAAAGCAGCTTCACAGAGCGTCCAGCAGGAGACAGAACAACCAGTAACCAGCGATATATGCTTTCTCACCCACTACCCTTCTTCACACCCACTCGGCCTGCTCTGCTTCCTGTGGCCAGTCTCCTGGCCAGGAAGCACCACCTTCACTCCGGTGTTGCTTGGATTCCACCTGCCCGCACTGACCGGCTCCCTAAGTGCCATTTGTTGGCTGCTGGTGCTGATTTTTTCAGCTCTTTAGATTTCTCCCTTACCTCTCATCACCTCCTCCTCCTTTGTCTCAAATACCTGGCTCCATATGCCATCTTTGCTTCTTCCTGAAAGGCTGTGAAACGCCGCTCGAATGTGAGACTGCTTTCCGGCTGATGCTGCCATGCTGGTAGGATCCCGGGGCTTTTTGTTGTTTTGAACAGATTGTTTGTTTGTTTTCTTTTTCTATTCTCAAATTGGGAGTCCATTCTAGCCAGGCAGTACTGCGCGCCTTGGGACCTACTCCCTCAGTTTGCGCAGAGGGATCCCTGAGCTCATTTCTTTTT